CAGCAATTTTCCTGGGAGAACCCCCTTGTGTGATTGTTTTTCCTTCCAGCTCACGTACCTGTGCCTCTAGGGTCGAGGTGCATCCCACTGCCTCATGTCCTCTCCGTGGTCACGCAGGTAAAACTACAGGGTGCCCTCTGGTGTGTACCTTCTATATCCTCTCTCTTGAGCAGAAGGACGCTGGCTCCTAATGGCTGAGATGCTGGTCCGTACAGGTTGAGAGTAGGACCTATCCTCTTTGAATTGCTGGACCTCCTGGGAGAGTTTCTGCATAGCTGAGACAAGGGAGGCAGTTTCTTCATATTCCCGGAGTTTGCCAGCTGTGTCATCCACCATTGGTGTGTCTTCCTCTTTCCGGGGCAGTATTGCCAACGAACTGGCATATGATGCTGGTGCGCTCCGTACCAACTTCCACCACGTGGGTCGCGTGCACTGGACTTCATCTGGATCTTTGGGTACTTGCTCGTCATCCGGGTCACTATAAACCACCTCCAGCACGGCTAATTCCCTCAGGTACTGGATACCTCTCTCCATAGTGGTCCATTTGCCTGGGCGACATAACATCTTCCCTGAAGGGGTACCTTTCCTTCACACTTGACAAGAGTCACCTCCAGAGGCTGAGGACTTGTGCCCCTTGTCCGAAAGGTATCCCAGCTGTTTGGCTTCCTTCCCCTCTAATTCCAGGCTACTGGCCCCATTATCCCAGCATTGGAGCAGCCAGATGACAATGTGCTCACCTGGACAATGGCTGAAATCTTTCCACATATCTTGCAGCTCACTCAGGGATAGGGATCGTGTGATTTCCGTCTCGTTTATGAGTTCTTCCTCTTCCTCCTCCCCTCCTCGTGGTGGCCCTGCTTTTCTATCATCGCTTTCTAAACGAGCTGACTTTCGCTTCCAAGATTTCTTCTTACGTATAGAGGCGACTGATACCAGCATGGGTTGGTCCTCTGGTTCAGCTGTAGTACCTGTCACGCGGGTTGGAGTAGCCGCAGTGCCTGTTGTTTTGTGATAAGATCCGGAGACCTTCTTTCCCCCTTGAGGGTTCTGAATAGTGTGGAACAGGGCTCGGTAGGCATGGGCCAGACCCCAGCACATTGCAGTGATTTGTATCTCTCTGGGATTGCCAGGGTGACAGCATGCTTTCTCCAAATATTTTACTAGTTTTTCAGGATTCTGCACTTGTTCAGGGGTGAAGTTCCAAAACATTGGAGGTGACCACTGTCCTAGGTACTTGCCCATACTATCCCACACACCTTGCCACTCATAACTATCCAACCTTGGGTGAGATCCCTGGGTGGTGTCCTTAAATACTTGTTTAACCTTAAACAAGGCCTGAAACACATTCAGGAGACATAGCAATAGGAACATGCTAGTCTGAACATCCCAAGGATATCCAAAATCCTCAAGAGCTGTTGTAATCAGCCTGGAGGAGAAGGGGAAGGTGAAGGAAGGTGTCTGCCCTGTAAATTGGCTCTCTGAGGAGAAGAGGTAAAAAGTGTAATTATTAATAGTTTCTGAGAGATAGCTCCCGAAGCACAGGGATGATGGCAGTGCTGAGTACAATCTCATGACCAATAAGTTTATCATACCATAAGCTAGTGTTACACAGTGTAGCAAAGCGATAACCTTAATCCATCTCCCAGAAGTGATAAATAGCACATACATACTGATAAACAGTATATACAGCTGGTAAGGTGCTACATAACACAACTCTAAGAACAGATCTAACAACTCTGAGAGCAAATAAACCTGGTCGTGTTCTTGATAGTAACCATAATAGGAACATTAGCTGAAGAAATTGAGAAGTCTTTCCGGAGTTTAAAATCTAGGAATTATTTCAGAATAGACAGACATTTAAAAGCTAATGTCCAAGATATTGGACATTAACAGTGATTGTGCAATCACAGTGTTCATGATAAAAGTATTTTGACTTGTCTGTTGATCAAATCAAGTAGCTGAGGAAATTTCACTTTTGTGTTGAAAAATTGCCCTCCTATTTTGTGTCATTGTTTTTATGTATCAGGGTTAAAATTGCTGTTTATTTTCAAAAGTTTCAAGATCCAGGTTTCTGCTGGGTTGAGGTGGTGTTATAAAGATGGTAAATTAATTGTGTGGTGAGCTTAGTTTAATCTGAACGAAGATTGTTTTTTCTTCAAGTGCTTTTGCATATAGGATCATACTTGAAATCTCTGAACTGAGATTCAGAATCTCTTGGAGAATAATATCTTCTGTGATCATTCACATCCTCTTGTAAAAGATTCTGACAGTATAAAAGAGAATAGCGTCTCTAATGACTCAAAAGGGACCCCAGGCAAATATACTCGTTGCTTAGTTCGTTGATTATTTTATACCAAACCTATTCAGTGCCTGAACATAGCATTCACAAGCCACTTCATGAAATGGCTTGCTGTCCATTTTAAATGTTCTGTGCCTTTGCATTAATCTTATGTTTGGGTAATCAGTTCCAAGGAGTTAGTACAACTGTTATTCCACTTGTTTGAAATAGTCCAATTGCAAATAAACAGTATGTAGCTCACTAGATTTGCCAGAGCCCTGTGATGAGGATATAGCATTTCAGAACTTCTGCTTAGCGTACATTGCACAGTGAAAGCACTTGCTCAGTTCCACCAGTGCCAAAGGTGCAGTGCCAGTACTGTAGTGAATTGCATAGTTAAATGGCTTTAAATCCAAATCAAGGGGCAATAGGAGTCTCATGTCTGAGTCAAAGTGTTTTATATGCAAAGACTGTAGTGACTAGCAGTTTACCTAGAGATGTGTGTATGACCTGCTGCTTTATTAACCAGTTTGCTGGGTTAACCTGCGTCATCTGAATCCAGTGTGAGCCCTGGTACAAAAGACATGTAGTATCCTATATAAATTTTCTGAATTATCATGCCATGCTGACTACGTTACCAAGGGAACAGTTACTTTTAGATTTTCCCACCTCTGCTTTATAGTACTGAGAATCCAACATAACAAGTTCATTACAGCCATTATACTGAGAGTCACCCGAATTGAGTATGTAGCAGAAAACCTGACGCATGACGCCATGAAAACTTGCTGTTTTCAAAACTGTCATGTTTCCAAGGTCTAAGCACCCTATTGGTTTGGGACCTGCTTGGAGCTCCAATGTAATGTGAAAAAATTTGAGTATCTCACTATATGATAGCTACCAAATATCTTCCTTTTCACTTAGATGTGTTATTTGTCCACTCTTGTTACCTCCAATACTAAGGACATACTTGACATAATTTGTAGGGCAGTAGCTTTAATACTTACTTAGCAGTGTTTCAGATTTGCAGGACAGCTCCTATTATGCAACAGTCTCCTCTCCATCTCTTCTGTTATTCCATATTGTTAGCTATCAGTTCATACAAAATGCTAATTGATACTAAAAAATACCTTTTGTGCATTATTTTCTGAATTTCATTGTCTCCTCTGTGCATGCATTATATTCAGAATTACCTTCACATTCTGAAAAGCCTTATTTTGTTACACAGATGCTTTTTGTCGTTTTTTACTGCTAGTACTCCATTTGTCAAAGTAGTCTTATCTGCCTATTTGTTAGCTTCTTTCATAATGGGGTGTGGAATCTGTGTCTATACTGCTCCTATCTGTGCTTTTCCAAAGTTCATTTGCAGGACTTTGCCTATCTGGTTGTTTCTAAAGCATTGAGAAACCCATTTCACACAATGATAAAGCAGATTAAAAAGTAGAAATTAATGTTGCCAATGCTTAGCAAAGCACCATTTAGCTCTTTTTTATATTTCACACTTTCCAAGAAGCATTCTGTCTGGAATAGTGCCTTAGATCAAGGACATAGGCCTTGGTCTCTGTTTGTGAATGCCTAACATACTGAGATACTTTCTGAAATTCATATACTTTCAAGAGATATTAGTCATATTAGTGCAATATATGGAATATAATCAATCCACTCCCTTCACAAAATTCTGAAGGATCAGCATAATTATACTAATCTTTGTTGTGTCAAACTGTGAGTTTCATGCTGGACTTCATAGATTTTTCACATGAACACTTACAAAAATTAATCTTATGAAATTAATCATTTATTTAAATACAGAAAGTAAAAGAAGGTTGAAAGTAACAAATTCTGATTGTATGTATAGAGATAAACGAATGTCAAATAGTAAGTGCATATCTTTTAGGCAAGATTTTCTTTGGCTTGCTGTAACTAGGATTATAATAGGCTAATTAAATTACTGATACAGATTGCAGGAATTTTTGCCCCCAGAGAAACAATCAATCAGCATTCTCCAACAAATAGTGAAAGATAATTGTAATTAAAAAAATGTTGTCTCAAACAACTGTTGTATCTCCTAAGTAATCTCCCACTACAGAAAAGGGTCTTTGACCTGAAAAGGCTTTCTGGGTGTTGTATCTTTGGTGAACCTGGTTTGAAGTCGGAACTGAGTTTGAACGGAGCAGAAGATAATATATCCAGATTGGGTAGCCTGAATTGTTTACATATTAATGTTTAGCTTAAATGTCTGCAAATCCACCATTTTGGCACTGAACAATGAAAAGAATAAGAAAAACCTCAGAAAGTGGTGCACATACAGTAGTTATCTAGTACTTTCATTTGGGAGTTATTTTTCAAAATGTTGACCTACTTCCATTACCAGTTAGCCACCTTCTGCTGTTTCCTGCTTTGAAGCTGTCTTACTTATTGTTCAGAGATCCAGATTGGCTAACGCTGAAATGGTTAAATGTTTTCATCATGGTGGAATATGCCATGATACTGTCAGGTTCTTGCTGTCAAGGGCGGTTACGGAGAAGACTCAGAAGCACTGATTATGATATATTCAAGCTCTGCGCTTAATTTAATTGATTTACAAATGAAATATGTAGCCCTTCCTTTTTAATTGGCACCTTTTACTGCAGTGCTAAACCATGAAATTATCAAAAATAAATCAGATAATTGGGCAGATAGGCCAATTCTGTCAGCACTTACATGCATACAGACCTGTGAGACTTTAATGGAGGTGAATGATGACATGATTCAGTTTCAGGTATCCCTACTACTAGGGGAAGAAAATCTTTTCAAATGTCATTGTCTGATGGTTAATATTTGTCTTGGATTTAATAACTTCATTTTAAAAGGCTTAGTGCTTTTTTATTTTGCTTTGTCATACTAATCAAAATCTTAGCCTTTATTCATCACGTTTTACTGAGGTGAAATGGATGAATTGAGGGGTTGATGAACTGATGAGGTTTTGGGGTTTCTTGTATCGGGAAAGTCAGTAAGACTTCTTTATTTCTTCAGACCGAAGGTTGACGCTCATCTAGAAAAGCTGTTTGTGTTCATAATAGCGTGCCTTACTAACTGATAAATGCAATTTTTGTGTATATGTTGGGACCAGACTTTGAAATTTGAGCATAATACCAGAGGTGTCAATGGAAAGAGAAAATAATTGATAGCTATCTTGAGATAGCTGATATTCCAGTAACTTGAAGTAGCTAATGCCCCTGTCAGCTGCTGTGTAAAAGCAACCCATAGAAATAATGTGGTTGAACGCTTAGGTGAATTCAAAATCTTACTTTTTTCATTCTCCATTATCTCTTTGTTAGACTTACGACTGATTATCTAACAACATTGAAATAGTGGAGTATGATTGAATACAACTGACCATCTGCTTATGTTGTATGTCTGAGGCTGGCTGGCTTATAGTACTAGAGCTTCGGGCTCATCTTCCGCTCAAATGCCTCAGTATGAGATATTGGGTCAATGCTACTGTCGCTGAAGTTCATATGCTCTATAACGTGATCAAACTTTACAAACAGGACAGTTAAGAAATAACTTTATGGAGACAACATAAGAAAAAGAGACATACAGAAGGCATTAAGAGAAGACAATAACAAAGGTCTTACTAGCTGTTGAAAGAAAGTTTTGGTGCAAGGAAGTTGAATTAAGCTGTGGAAAGCAGAAGAGAAATGGCAGAATTACATATTTTAAGGTAAGAAAATGGGGAAAAGTTAGGAAGAAGGAAGAGAAGAGAAGGCAAAAGATAAAACTTTTAGTAACCTTTTTGACAGTTATTTTGTTTCTTAAAGAACGTACAGACATCAGTAATTCCTTTTGCCAAATGTTTTCTTTAACTGTTGACTGCAGAATTTACGGCAGTATCAGTAAGCTTAAGCTCTGCTTTCTGATCCTTTTGAGGAAAAAAAAACTTTCCACCTTCACCTCTCACATACAGGCTATCAGCTGAACATTGTTATGGGTGGTAGGAAGATCCTGTATTGTCTATAGGTAGACTCAGAACTCAAAGCTATTGATAAATTGTTTCAAAGAGTCATTACTCATCAGAAGATCCCAAATAATAAGCTGTCTGAATATTCCTGGCATACTCCACTTTCAAAGTAAAACACCATAACCACAATGGAAGTAGATTCTGTAGGTCTCCCTTTAGGTCTCCAGACTACCAGGATCCCCATTTCACTCCTACTTGGCATGGACTGTATTCATATCCACATTTATTTCACTCTAAGGACTCTGTGTCTGTGCATCACGTACTCTTGCCATTCTAGATTTTCTTTCTCTGCAAGTAGTATTATCCTGAGCTTTCTTCCTCTCCTTGTTTAGGAGCTGCTCTCATTGTCAGAGGATCAAATGTCCTCCCCATTTCTCTCCATCCGGTCCAGATCAGCGCTCTGTATGGCAAGATCTCTGTCGTTTTCCTCCAGTTCTAGGAACTGTGTGTCTTTGTTCCTTGCTATCCTCCTTTTTTTTTTTTAATATCTCTGATGTGAAATAAGTGAGTGTATTTCTTCTGGGAAGTGGAGCAGAAATGAGCCTTCCTTACGCAGGGAGGTGTTGAAAGATGCCATCTTCTTGTTAATTGGCCTTTAACAATTACGCTCCATAATTGTTCCATTTCTCCTCCATTTTCTTTCCTCTGGATTTCCAGTTTCCCCCAAATCCATGTAGTTTTGCCTATTTATGCATAGAACACTTGGATAATTAAAGAGAAGCAAATGCAACCCATAAAGTGTAAAATCTGTTCAAGAGGTGAGCATGTATGCATAGGCCTAAGGCCAGAAGACATCACGCTTGAAGAGATAGAGGGGATATAATCTCTCTATAGATCCACTCTGTCTCTTCAAGCATGATGTCTTCTGGTTGCCTGTGTTTAAAGAGTACCACTCAGAGAACCACTCAGTCTTTCTCTGAAGACATTGGAAGTTTGATGTTTTTAGCCCTTTTGCATTTAACCCATTTTCCATAGAAGTGTGTTCCAGTAGTTAATTATGAATACTGTTGCATTTATGCCTTCTTGCTTGAGTTTTTTTGGCTTAAGTCTATAGCAATTTGTCCTTGTTTTATGCTTGTCTGTTATGCCAAAAAAAGTCTATTCAGTACTTTCTTCCCATAAAGATTGTTCTACCTAGCTGTTGATAAGCAAAACAGTTTGTCAAGAACCTGTCTTGTAAACCATTTTCCCCATTTTGCTTGCATATGTAGTGTTTCTGGTTTTCCTCTATTTTTTTCACATTCTTATATATATGTTATTTCAGTATTTGTCTCAACATTATGTTCTAAAAAGAGGGGAAAATCACCTTCCAGTTTCAGTTTATTTCTGCTTGTACATCAAAAAACTGCCTTAGCAGTTTTCCCCACTCTACCACACCATGAACATGTGTTCAGTTTCTTCTTTGTTATGAAACCCAAATCATTCTGTATTCATGACTTTCCAAGATACATCTTTCTGGTTTTCTGAACTTGGCACAAGCTTCTTACTCAGTGTTAAAAATGCAATTGTTTGAATGGGCCTGATTCATCAAGCAAATCCATCCCTATTCGTATTATTATCACAATCATCTGTGTGTGATCTGCACATTTTGTTTGCCTTGACAATCACTGAAAAAATAAACATAGCTCAATTCTGTGATATCTTATTTTATGCAATTTACTTTAAATCCTTTCTTAGTAAATAGTTCTTGTCTTGTTGGCCTTTCATTCTTTTGAAGTTGTTTCATATATTGCCCTTGTACAACATCATTCTAGTTCTGTTATTTTTTAGAGATTCATTGAGCAGAATAAGTAGACTGTTTTAAGAAAGGATATACCAGAGTTTATAAATGTCTTTGTTAGGTTTTGAGTATTTTTTTTAACTTCATAACACTTGCTTGTTATTATGTCTAGATAAATTTTGAACGAGAAATACTCTAATACTGCAGCTGAATTTCTGCT